GCACTATATGGCCAGAAATATATTCAGTAGGTCAAATATGGACTACAGTATAGACGAGGTAACATCAGAAGGAGTCTATGCGTTTATAAGAACTATTTTGAAGGTCCTTAGGCCAAAAATATGTTCAACAGATTATACATTAATGTGTCCCCCCATGTCATTCTTTCTTCAGTCGAAAAGAAATTAAAGTTTTTGATGAAAACATTATAGGATTTTCTCCATTTAATGGACTTCATTGGGAACCAAACAATTCAAGGTCCAAATGAGAGTTTCAGTGCAGCTTCAAACGACACCAGTTATCATTTTACAACTATTCAGCAAGAAATATTTTCATCAGGGCAATTACGGAATTCCGTACATATGGCTGACGTACAAAATTTCAACATCGAGGTCTCTTTGGCCAGAAATTTATGTAAAAGTAAAAAAAAAAAGGGGTTTGGTGTCTGGCTGATTTAACATCATAAAGAGTCTTTGAGAGTATAGTTGTCACAGTCGGCGTCTGCACCATCCTGTCTGCGTCTCCTGCACTACACTTCCCATGATCCTCTCGTCTGCACACCTGAACTCACTCCCTCATCAGGCTCCCGTTCAGCGTCCTGTTTCATCTGTTTCACCTGTCTTCACCCCATTATGTCTGATTCCTCTGTGTATTTAGTTCTCTCAGTTTCATTCTGTCTTTGTCGGTCGTTGTCTATTGATGTTTAGTGTGAACCCGTGTGGTGCCCGTGTTCCTGTCTGCCTGCCTGTTTATATATATATATATATATATATATATTAAACCCTTGTTCTCCCCGATACTCCGGTCTCCTCGTTCCTCTGCCAGAGCCACACCGTGACAGTACGACCGACCGCAAAAGAAAAGGAGATTGACCTCGTTGCTGCAGTCAATCTGCTCTGCTTAGAGCAGGGGAATCGCTCACTCGAGGACCACTTGGCGGATTTCCTCTCCCTCGTCCCAGCCACATCTTTCCCGGACGACAGCCTCTGCAGCTTCCTATATGCTGGCCTCAACACCGCCACCAGAGAGCTGTTGTCCGGGTAGGGTCCTCTGTGGAACTTCGCTGCCTATGTGGATTGGGTGCTGGTGTCATGTGGATCTTCTTTCACCGTTGACGACGGCACCAGCCCCACTCCAACGCCCGAGATCTCCTCATCGCTGGTTCCGCCCAGCTCCGTCCAGCCCGAGCTTTCCTCATCGCTGGTTCCGCCCAGCCCCATCCAGCCAGAGACCATCCAGACCGTCCAGCCAGAGACCGTCCAGACCGTCCAGCCAGAGACCGTCCAGCCAGCGCCAGAGACGTCCAGCAGCGCCAGAGACGTCCAGCCAGCGCCAGAGACCGTCCAGCCTGCGCCAGAGACCGTCCAGCCAGCGCCCGAGACCGTCCAGCCAGCGCCAGAGACCGTACAGCCTGCGCCAGAGACCGTCCAGCCAGCGCCCGAGACCGTCCAGCCAGCGCCCGAGACCGTCCAGCCAGCGCCCGAGACCGTCCAGCCAGAGCCCGAGACCGTCCAGCCAGAGCCCGAGACCAGGATCCCACCCAGCCTCCCTCTCCCACCTCCTCCCGTCACGCAGCCGTCAGCCCTTCCGTCTGCCAGCTCCCCTGACCCAGCCTGGTCGTGGGATCCCCGGTTTTTGCCTCCCGCCTCCTCCACATGGACACTTCCTCGGCCCCCGGTCCCATTGGCTCCCCCGTGGCTCATACCTCCCTCAGCTCCTCCATGGTCCCACAGTCCACCAGCTCGGCCAGGCTCCCTCTGTCCTCCGGATTCCCCTCGCTCCCTCGTCATCCTCCCTTCACCTTTGGACTTCCTTCCCTTGGCTCCGCCCCGTCATGTCACCCCCCCGGTTCTGTCGGACTCCTCACTCCCTCCAGTCACCCGTCAGCCCTCACTCCCTCTGGCCTCACCGTGTTCCTCTGTGTCCCTGTCATCACTTTGGTCACCTGAGCCTGTGTTATCACCACGGTCCCTTGGTCCCTCGTCAGCACCTTGTCTCGTCAGTCGCTCTGCTTCACCCTGGTCTCCTCTCGCACTTGCTCCGCACCTGTCAGTCGGCCTCGTCTCCTTCGGCTCCACCAGGGGTCCTCCCTCCATCTGCTCCGCCCTGGTCTCACCCTCAGCCTGCTCCGCCCTGGTCTAGCCCTCAGCCTGCTCCGCCCTGGTCTCGCCATCAGCCTGCTCCGCCCTGGTCTCGCCCTCAGCCTGCTCCACCCTGGCCACGCCCTCAGCCTGCTCCGCCCTGGCCACGCCCTGCCCAGCCCTCAGATCGTCCCCCCTCCTTCCTCTGTTCTGCGGCGTGAGGTCACGCCTCCCGGGAGGGGGGAGTTCTGTCACAGTCGGCGTCTGCACCATCCTGTCTGCGTCTCCTGCACTACACTTCCCATGATCCTCTCGTCTGCACACCTGAACTCACTCCCTCATCAGCCTCCCGTTCAGCGTCATGTTTCATCTGTTTCACCTGTCTTCACCCCATTATGTCTGATTCCTCTGTGTATTTAGTTCCCTCAGTTTCATTCTGTCTTTGTCGGTCGTTGTCTATTGATGTTTAGTGTGAACCCGTGTGGTGCCCGTGTTCCTGTCTGCCTGCCTGTATATATATATATATTAAAAACCCTTGTTCTCCCCGATACTCCGGTCTCCTCGTTCCTCTGCCAGAGCCACACCGTGACAATAGTAAGTTGTGTTTTGGGACCATTTGGCCAGAAATATTTTCAATGGGCCACAGGCTGGCTGACGTAACATCAAAAGAAGTCAATGAGAATATATAGAAAGTTCAATATCAGGTTCTTTCTGGCCAGAGATATGTTAATTATGTCGAATACGGACAACTGTATAGCTAAATTAACATCAGGAGTCCATGAGTTTACATAGTAAAAAATAAATGCTGAGTACCCTTCCAGTAGGACCTCATTGCAGTACACAACATCCAGGATCCAGGGGTCAATAGGCTAGGTGTTTTTTTTAGGGTATCCGGGGTGTTTGCTATGGTGTTGCTATGTGGTTGTTAGGGTATTCTGGGTGGTTGCGAAGGTGTTGCTATGCGGTTGCTAGGGTATTCTGGGTGGTTGTGAAGGTGTTCTGGGTGGTTGCTAGAGTGTTGCTAGGCAGTTGCTGGGGTGTTCTGGGTGGTTGCGTTGCCAGATGGTTGCTGGGGTGTTCTGGTTTGTTTCTAGGGTGTTCTGGGTGGTTGCTAGGCTGTTGCTTGGTGGTTGCTAGGGTGTTCTGGTTGGTTGGAGATTTACTTCTCATAATGTCATTTCAGCCAGACAAATATTTGACCTACTGAACATGTTTCTGGCCCAAAAGTACTTGATCTTGAACTTTCCATACATACTCATAGACTCCAACAGATGCTTCCTAAGCCATAGAGAAGTCCATATCTGACCTATTGAACTCATTTCTGGTCAAAGGATCCTCAAAAGGTATAAAACAATATAAACTTTTAGACTCCTTCTGATGTTATAGTCAGAAGGAGTCTGACTATAACATCAGATAAAATAGATACATAGATAACTATAACATCAGATAAAATAGATACATAGATACATTTTTTTGAACTCCAGGAACACATTTATGGCACATTTCCAGAAGAAAATGTGAAGTGGAGCTTGAAGCGGCAAATCTCACCACCCGGTTGCTATAGGGTGTTGCTAGGCAGTTGCCAGGGTGTTCTGGGTGGTTGCTAGGGTGTTGCTAGGTGGTTGCTGGGGTGTTCTGGTTTGTTGCTAGGGTGTTGCTAGGTGGTTGCTAGGGTGTTCTAGTTGATTGGAGATTTACTTCTCATGATGTCATTTAAGGCAGAAAATTATTTTACCTACTGAACATGTTTCTGTCCCAAAAGTTCTTGATCTTGAACTTTCCATACAGACTCATAGACTCCAATAGATGCTTTCTAAGCCATAGAGAAGTCCATATCTGACCTATTGAACTCATTTCTGGTCAAAAGTTCCTTAAATTAGTTTAAAACAATATAAACTGATAGATTCCTTCTGATGTTATATTAGCTATACATAGGTCAATTTTTGACCTCCAGGAACACATTTAGGGCCCACGGGTACTTGATCTGTGGGTGAGTATACCGAGAGATTTACTTCTCATGATGTCATTTCAGCCAGACAAATATTTGACCTCCTTCTGATGTTATATAAGATACACATTGGTCAATTATATTAGATATACATAGGTCAATTTTTGACCTCCAGGAACACATTTATGTCCCACGGGTACTTGATCTGTGGGTTAATATACCGATAGATTTACTTCTTGTAACAAGGGCCCTCAACGTAGGTTGGAGCAATGGACCAGTTTCTAGGTCGGTGGAGAACAGAATATTGGCAGTAAATGAATCACAGACATCAAGTAAGGAAAGTATTTGTAATTTTAAATTGAACAGTCACATACATAAAATGAAACAACAATAATAACAAAACAATAAAATAATACACAAATTATAAACCTTCTGTGGTCTTTTGAGTTTCTTATCTTATTCTTTCAAGGTTTAAATCCCTTTTTTTTCTTATATCAGTTTAATAATAATAATAATAATAATTCATTACATTTATATAGCGCTTTTTTTTCTGGAAACTCAAAGCGCTTCACATAGAGGGGGGGGGGGGTCTCCTCAACCACCACCAATGTGCAGCATCCACCTGAATGATGCGACGGCAGCCATATTGCGCCAGAACGCTCACCACACACCAGCTTACTGGTGGAGAGAAGACAGTGATGAAGCCAATTGGTGTATATGGGGATGATTAGGAGGCCATGATGGACAGAGGCCACTGGGCAAATTTGGCCAGGATGCCGGGGTTACACCCCTACTCTTTCGAAAGACATCCTGGGATTTTTTATGACCACAGAGAGTCAGGACCTCGGTTTAACGTCTCATCCGAAGGACGGTTTAATCAATGTTATCTATTTTGTCTCTGTTTACAGATGTCTTTAGTAAGACTCTTATTAGATTGTTCTGTATTTCTTTTGGACAGCTCCCTATCTTTCGGTTTTTTATTTTAGAGTTTAAGGTTCTTATTCTACTCTGCTTGTTGTGCCATAATTTCCTATACCGTGTTTAAACAAACCAAAATAATCCCTTCAACAAAATAAAATGATGTAAACAATAATTTGACCAACTGAAACTTCTTGTCACAATGAAATGGTAAAAGGAAATTCAATATTCACATGTGACTCACATTCAATAACGTTAAATAAACAACACCCTTGTTTTAACTCTTTGTTTGAATTGTCTCTTGAATATCGTCCAGAAAATCCTTTAAGAGATCCAGTGGGTAAATGCGCAATCAGTTCAATCCTACCAGTTCGAAGAAGTGGTCCAAACAGAACAAAGCAAAGTCCTCCTAACTGAAGAAATTGATGTCTCTGGCGCAACGAAAACCTTGTGATACAGCAAAAATGTCTTTTCCCCAGGCTCAGAAATCAGCATTCAATTTTGGGTGGCTCGCCATCTCAAATCCATGAGAGAATTTTTCCAATGAAGCAGTAAACCTGACCTGTTTTACCAAAACAGTGTCATTAACATTTAATATTACTTTTTTTTATAACTTTTCTGCTCTTTAAACAATGTTTAAACATACAGTTTCACTTTCATGACGAACGTGTGATATCTCACAGGCATATTAACAATGTGCAAATCAATATACATTCATAGCTAAGCAAAAATATATTACTCAACATTTCAAAAATCACATTAACATTCAGAAAATGTGCAATATAGACTTCACAGTGTGCATAATATGCATAATGACATAAAATACATCCCTTTTAGAAAATAAAACACAAATAAACTCACCAAATCCCGAGTTTCACAGGTTTTTTTTTAAACACCCGTTTCAGATTCAAAGAAGCTTCACAATCGGCTAGCATCTGCACTCAAATCAGCAATCACCATTCTAAAATGATTCATCATCGTCAACCACAAAGTATTATAAAGTTGCTTATAACCTTATTAAATTAATTTTAACAATATAAACCTTATTAATCCATTTCTGCATCACTCATCTCGTGTTCAGCGCATCTCTCATCTCGCGTTCAGCGCGTCTCGCACACTTCCGTGTGTCATGCGCTGACGTCATACGCAACTTGTGTACGTGTAATACATCACGTGTTCGGTGCTAAATTACAATGCATATTATTTCAATTTATATTAATTAATTCACAATGTATATGAATAGATCGTTTCAACTTTTTAATTTAAAGTTTAGCTATTAGAACATGCAATTATATTATCCAAATTTAACATGGGTTACATTCTCATGATGTCATTGAACTCATTTCTGGTCAAAGGTTCCTCAAAAAGTTTAAAACAATGTAAACTTTTAGACTCCTTCTGATGTTATATTAGATATACATGGGTCAATTTTTGACCACCAGGAACACATTTATGGCACATTTCCAGAAGAAAATGTGAAGTGGTGCTTGCAGTGGCAAATCTCACCACCCGGTTGCTTGGGTGTTCCTAGGGTGTTCTGTGTGGTTACTAGGGTGTTGCTAGGTGGTTGTTAGGGTATTCTGGGTGGTTGCTAGGGTGTTGCTAGGGTGTTCTGTGTGGTTACTAGGGTGTTGCTAGGTGGTTGCTAGGGTGTTCTGGGTGGTTGCTAGGGTGTTGCTAGGTGGTTATTAGGGTGGTCTGGTTGGTTGCTAGGGTGTTGCTAAGTTGTTCTGGGTGGTTGCTAGGCAGTTGCTAGAGTGTTGCTAGGGTGTTCTGGGTGGTTGCTAGGGTGTTTTAGGTGGTTACTATGGTAGTCTGTGTGGTTCCTATGGTGTTTCTAGGTGGTTGGTAGTGTCCAAATTACTATAGAGTTTTTATAATGTTTTTGGCAATTGATTTATATATCATCAAAAGGAGTCCATAAGTTTTTCAGAAATAATTTCAATAGGTGTAACGGTCACCAGCTGGAGTGCCCTTGATACCCACCAGAAGGCACTCCAGATTAGTCTTGTATCACTCTCAGACTACATTTCCCATAACTCATTGCTCGGACTCATCTTCACTGATCACACTCACCTGTACCTCGTTCTCTGATAGCATTCACCTGTGTATCATCCTGTTTGTCTGTCTATATATACCTGGTTCATTTGTTCAATCCCTGCGAAGTCTTGTTTAAGTGTTTCACTGCAATTCTGAGCATTCTTATGGTTTTCTGGTCTCTTGGTTTTGGATATCTTGCCCTGTTCCCTGGATTACTCTCTTGCCTCTGGTCCCTGCCTGTTTTGTTTGTTTCTTTGTTTATCTGTTTTGGACTGCCTATCTATTTATGACCCTTGCCTGTACATTGGATTACGCCTCTGGATTGCCCTCAAATAAAGCTGCGTTTGGATCTAAACTTGCCTTTCTCAGAGCAGTGATTCGTAACAGAAGACTTCGCCACACTGAGATCCAGCAGCACCGTTGACCAACATGAGTCTAACAGGTACCATTCAGGACCCGCTGAGAGAATTGTGTAGTATTTATCAGTTCAATCGCATCATTGAGGAGTATGTGGAGGAGTTTCTTTTTTATAGTCATCTTGTTCCCGGTGATGATTCAATGATGAAAGATTGTTTCTGGAGTGGACTAGACCAGGACATTAGGATAAATTTACCAGAGGAAGACCCCAGCTGGACCCTGGCACAGTATATTGACTTTGTCCTGGAGTTTTGTGGATCCACCTTCACCGTAGGGAAGGTGGAGGAGGAGGTTTTCACAACCGCACTGCCTGAGAATCTTCACGTTACTTCAGCCGTCAAGCCAGCCATGGCATCCGTTTATGGGTGTCCAGGACTGATGTCCACCGTGACACAGCCGCCGCTGATGTCAGTTCAGAGGGCCAAGAAGACCGTCCAGCCAGAGACAGTCCAGACCGTCCAGCCCGAGACCGTCCAGCCCGTCCAGCGAGAGACCGTCCAACCCGTCCAGCCAGAGACCGTCCAGCCCATCCAGCCAGAGATCGTCCAGACCGTCCAGCCAGAGACGCTTCACGTCACTTCTGCCGAGCCAGAGACGCTTCAAGTCACCTCTGCCGAGCCAGAGACGCTTCACGTCACTTCTGCCGAGCCAGAGACGCTTCAAGTCACTTCTGCCGAGCCAGAGACGCTTCACGTCACTTCTGCCGAGCCAGAGACGCTTCACGTCACTTCCGCCCAGCCAGAGTCTCGTCCCGCCGAGACAGCCCAGCCAGAGTCTCGTCCCGCCGAGACAGCCCAGCCAGAGTCTCGTCCCGCCGAGACAGCCCAGCCAGAGTCTCGTCCCGCCGAGACAGCCCAGCCAGAGTCACGTCCCGCCGAGACAGCCCAGCCAGAGTCTCGTCCTGCCGAGACAGCCCAGCCTGAGTTTCATGTCAGCCCTGCCGAGTCTGAGCCTGTTCACGTCACTTCTGCCGAGCCAGAGACGCTTCACGTCTCCGAGCCAGTGTCTACGGACAAGATGGCCGCCTCCGAGCCAGTGTCTACGGACAAGATGGCCGCCTCCGAGCCAGTGTCTACGCACAAGATGGCCGCCTCCGAGCCAGTGTCTACGCACAAGATGGCCGCCTCCGAGCCAGTGTCTCCGGACAAGATGGCCGATCCAGTGTCTCCGGACAAGATGGCCGATCCAGTGTCTCCGGACAAGATGGCTGATCCAGTGTCTCCGGACAAGATGGCCGATCCAGTGTCTGCTCCCGATCCAGTGTTTGTTTCTGTGTCTGTATCTGTCCTTGTGACCATTTCTGTTGTAGTGTCTGTTCCTGAGCTGGTGTCTGGTCCTGAGAGGTCTTCGCCGCCGTGGCCGCCCGAGGGGTCTTCGCCGCCGTGGCCGCCCGAGGGGTCTTCACCGCCGTGGCCACCCAAGGGGTCTCCACTGCCTTGGTCTCCCGCACAGCCAGCTCCGCCCTGGCCACCTCCACAGCCTGCTCCGACCTGGTCGCCTCCACAGCCAGCTCCGCCGCAGTCTCCAGGTCCTCTTCCGCTCCACGGGCCTGGCCCTCCATTACGCCCCCAGGTCCGCCTCTGCTCCACCTCCCTCCTGGACATTTTGAGGAGCGTCTGGAATCCGCTCCTTAAAGGGGGGGCTATGTAACGGTCACCAGCTGGAGTGCCCTTGATACCCACCAGAAGGCACTCCAGATTAGTCTTGTATCACTCTCAGACTACATTTCCCATAACTCATTGCTCGGACTCATCTTCACTGATCACACTCACCTGTACCTCGTTCTCTGATAGCATTCACCTGTGTATCATCCTGTTTGTCTGTCTATATATACCTGGTTCATTTGTTCAATCCCTGCGAAGTCTTGTTTAAGTGTTTCACTGCAATTCTGAGCATTCTTATGGTTTTCTGGTCTCTTGGTTTTGGATATCTTGCCCTGTTCCCTGGATTACTCTCTTGCCTCTGGTCCCTGCCTGTTTTGTTTGTTTCTTTGTTTATCTGTTTTGGACTGCCTATCTATTTATGACCCTTGCCTGTACATTGGATTACGCCTCTGGATTGCCCTCAAATAAAGCTGCGTTTGGATCTAAACTTGCCTTTCTCAGAGCAGTGATTCGTAACAATAGGTCAAATGTGAACAATTCTATATGGCCTAGGAACCATCATAAGGAGTCTATGAGTATGTAGAAAGTTCAAGATCAAGTACACATGGGCATTAAATATAGTCTGTAGGTCAAATATCTGTCTAGCTAAAATAACATGATAAGAGGTCATTCTGTATAGTATCCTGATTTTCAAAGAACACTTTAGAAATATGTTCAGTATAAGGACTCTTGTATGGCTTCAGTAACATAAAAAGGAGTTAATGAGTATGTTTAGAATGTTCAAGATCAAGTACTCGTGGGCCAGAACTATGTTCAATAGGTCAAAAAGGAACCTATCTATAGCTTATCAAAGTATAGTGGGTCAAAGAGGAACCTCTAGGCCTAGGAAGTAGTCTAAGAAGTAGCATAAGAAGTAGTCTAATTAGTATGTATAGAAATTTCAATATCAGGTACTCGTGGGACAGATATATGTTCAGTCGGTCAAATATCTTCCTGCTCATAAAACATCATAAGTAGTAAATATCAATGTATAGTAACCTAATGATCAAGTACCCTTTGACCAGAAATGAGTTCAATGGGTCAGATATAAACAATCCATATGGCTAATGTGTTCATTAGGTAAAATAAGGACTCTTATTTTGAGCATGTTTAGAAAGTTTAAGATCTAGTACTCGTGGGCCAGAACTATGTTCAGTAAGTCATGTTGAGCATTATGAGCATGTTTAGAAAGTTTAAGATCTAGTACTCGTGGGCCAGAACTATGTTCAGTAAGTCAAATAGGAACCTTTGTATAGCTTATATATCATCAAAAGGTGTCTATAAGCTTATATTGTTTAAAAACTTTTGAGGACCCTTTTACCAGAAATGAGCTTAATAGCTATACTATGCACTGTAAAGCTCATGTGATGTTTTCTCGTCTGTGCACAAATAAATTAGTTTGTAAAATAGAAATGCATGCAAAATCACATTATATTGCAATGAGGAACAAGTTATATATGTAATGCAATGCAATGAAACACATCTTATGTGTTTTCTTTTCATTGCACAGAGGTTAGTTATTGCGTGCATATGCATAACGAGGAACAAGTTAGATAGGTCATGCAATAAGATGAAACCAACACAGTCTCATGAAGGTGCGTATCTATACCACGAGTGTCATTTCTCGTGGCATTTATACGCCAAAAGTGTTTTTTTCGTGTATATGGTACGCACTAAAAAACCCTGGGTTAGGTTTAGGGGGAGGGGGGGTGGGGAGTTCGTGTGTATTATACGCAAAAAAGTGCGTATCATATGTACGCGAAAATCGCGTGCCAAATACACGCAAAAACTGTTTTTGGCGTATAAATGCCACGAGAAATGACATTCGTGCCATAGACACGAACTTTCATGAGATCGGGCTGGATGAAACACATCTTAGGTGTTTTCTTTTCATTGCACCGAGGTTAGTTATTGCGTGCATATGCATAACGAGGAACAAGTTAGATAGGTCATGCAATGCGATGAAACACATCTTAGGTGTTTTCTTTTCATTGTAAAGAGGTTAGTTATTTCGTGCATATGCATAACGAGGAACAAGTTAGATATGTAATGAAATGCACTAAACACATCTTAGGTGTTTTCTTTTCACTACACAGAGGTTAGTTATTGATTGCATAAGCATAACGAGAAACAAGTTAGATCTATCATGCAATGCAATGAAAAACATCTTAGTTTTTTTTTTTCAATTGCACAGAGGTTAGT